ATAAAAGATTCAATAGTTAATAAGGTAAATCAAAAATGCATATACATGTGTATATGTACACAAAAATTTATATGTGTACAGAATTCATAAAATTCAATTAAACAATATGAAAATTTTCTTAAAGAAATTCTAAGATTTCTTCCACATAAATTAAATTAATTATAATAATAATAATTATTTATAATAATTAAATTTTTTGTTATTGTTATTTAAAATAATTTTATCTGCTTAGAAATTTTACAATTCACTGAATTTAATGAATATAAAATTATTTGTCGATTAGTTAAGCAAATACAAATAACAAATTTTATACACGTTATACATAATAGTACATTACATATCAATATACATACATAGGTATATAAAAATTATTATTTAAATTACTTTAGGCCGATTTCATTATACATTATTATTATAATATATACATACATATATTAATTACATTGAAATTCGAAAGTTAAGCAGATTTATAATTTGTTCAGCAATAAAATAATAAAATTTATAATAATTATTGTTATTTTAAGCTATTATTAAGAAAAACAATTTAATTTTATAATTTAAAACAAATATGTAAGATCCTTGAAATTTACGAATATTAAGTATCTTGTTATTTTCACTTTTTTTTTTCTCTTATTTTCTTGAAATATTTAAAATAGAAACAATATTATAAATTATAATAATAAAAGTAATTATATAAATATACCCTATGTACAATCATTAATAAAATTTATTAATAATCTAAAATTATTTTAATATACATGAAAATTTTTTAAATATTATTACAATAATTTTACAATATTATTTTTGTATATTTATATTAATTTATTATTATTATTAATTATTAATTATGTCTGAGAAAAATTTGAGTTTCTTTCAGAAAAAAATTTTAAAGAAATTTGTTAATTTACACTTAAAATAGTAAGAATCAGAATTAATTTTTTTCATTTTAAATATTAATTTTAGAAATTGGAAATTGGACAAAATAATTGGGGTTATTGTGTATTTAAAATTGGTTTAGTGTTATGTTGAAAAATGGTGAATCATAAATTTTTCAAGTAAGAATAATGTTTTAAGTAGAAACTTTAAGAATCTTGAACGTAATAACCAGAAATTTTTCCCTGTTATTATTAAAGATCAGTTTATAGATAATAATTCTGTAACGAATTTTGATAATGGAAGCTTTTTTTTTTTTTTGAATAATTCATGAAAACACTGTAGCTTAGCTGAAATTTAGGTATAGTGCAAAAAATTTAAAAATATTAAATTTAAAATATTAAATTTTTAAAAAATTTAAATCTTTGAATTTAAGATATTTGGCATAACATACTTCGCTTCTGGAAAGAGCATAGAGCTGATGCATAATACCGTAGATAACTATGAACCATAGTCTCTTGCATCATTGAGTTTACTAGGTAGGTGATGAGGCTACCGTTACATAATTCTCAAAGCTAAAGAACGAAAAAAATAAATAACTTTTGGTAATTTTGGTGTAGGGTCAATTCTTTTAATATTGTACATTTTTTTATTTAAAATTTAAAAATTTAATATGAGTTTTTTCGAAAATAAAAATTATTATGCATTATTCTAACATAAAACCAAAATAATTGCTTAGCCTTAATTTACAATTACTAAGTAAAAACTTATCGTTTTTTTTTATAGCACTATTGTACAAAAACTTTTGTAATTTTTAAGTTGTTTTTGAATTATTCCAATGCCTAAACTCATTATACTGATATTTATTTTTTTTTCTTTCAAAAATTAAAGTGAATTTCAGTTTAGAATTTATTGAAAACAATAATTTTTTTTAATTTCTAAATGGCTGTGAATGATTTTCGTATTAATAGATATGAATTTTTTTTTTTGATCTTCAAATTAATTACAGAATATTCAATGTTTCACAAGATTTTTAAAAAAATTTTATTTGCAAATACATAGTACTAAATATGCCCTTTGTTCGACAATAAAGAACTGCATGTTCTGTTAAAAAAATGTGTTTGATAATGCAGAGAAACATTATGGCAATCTTGGAATTTTTTTTCATGCTAATTTCTAATTTGTAGTCTTTGTAGTTGCACCTTTCTGTTGTCTAAGCTATTGAAATTCTGAGTTAGAAATGCCAAAGTATTATCGAAAACATCATAGTTTTTATAAAATGTAGCTTTTAAAATCATTATTGTAATTTTAATCAGTTCTTATTAAATATTTAAATTGCAATATTACGTTTAGATTTCGATTTGTGGAACATCAAATGGGAATCGTTCAAATATTCTTCCGATATTTTAAATGAAAATTTAAAAATACTAATTTATTTATTTATATTTTTTTATTGAATTTTTACCACTAATTACCGTTATAGTTTTTCTTAAATTTTTGAATATTTTTTTATTTTTTACTATTTTTTAATAAAAATAATAAAAATTTACATTTATACAAAGTGTTGGAAAAACAATTATTTTTTATATTTTTTGTGATTTTTGTTTTATTTTGTGTTTTTTTTTTTTTTTTAATTGTTATTTTTAATAAAATATTTGCATGTTATACACATGTACATATATTAAATGTTTTTGTATTAAATAAAATTTATTATTAAAAATTTTATCATTATTATTACAACATTATATACCTATTTATATAATATACATATACAAATTATTAAACAATAGTAAAACGAAAAAAAAAAAATTAATATTAAAAAATTTTTTTGTTGATTTTATCATTTTTTTTTTCAATTAATTCAATTTTTTTTTTATTTTTTTGATGTGCATAAATTTGTTTTTTTAAACTTTCCAAATCGAGAAAATTTTTAATGTTTGACTTTTTATAATTCATTTACTTTATTTTTAAAAATGTTTGCATATTTGATCTTTTGTAGGTGTGTTAACCGATTTTTTTTTTTTTAAAAAAAGGGGTTTTGGTTTTTAAATTATAAAAAATTGGGACGCCTATTTTACTTTTTTCTTTTAATTAATAGTAATTTTGTAATATTGGCTGCATTGTAATATGATTTTAATTTAATGGAGCTATCATAAATTTATTAAAAATCATTAATTGAATATTAATTAAAGTGATCAATTGATTACGATCAATTATGGTTGATTTCGAGCTTGCAGTTCTAACAAATATTTGCAATGGTAACACAATTTTGTAGTTTTCTGCAAAAAAAACATTCTGTTTTTGATGGTAAAACTGCAAAAGTTTTGCTATCAAATCGACAGAATAAAATTTTTTTCCGCTTTAATATTCATAACTTCAAGGATATAAATCAAAATATTGATGTCAGAAGTTTTGTTGAGAGCGCTACTTTAGTAATTCTATTGAAGTGCAGTTTTAATTAATAAAATCTCTCGCAATCAGAACTGCAAACGGAAATTCAACCTATATGTGGGATCAAGAATTTATATATATATTATTTTGTAGACTACACTAATTGTGTTTTAAGAGGATGTTCAAATAACCAATAACTAGAAGAAGATTCATAATTTTTGATTTCAAATATATTCCACTATTAATTATAATTTGAACTTTAAAAATATAATACGTATATGCATTAAATTAGAACTTAAACAGCTTTACTGCAATATTATTTTTTATTTAAATATATGAATTAGTTAAAAATTGTGATTCCTTGCTGTCACACATAATTTTTTTGCGGTCTGAATTGTGAATGCGTTAAATAATAAGTAATATTTAATACCCGATCAACAGAACATTTAAACAAAAAGAATGTCATAAAAGTAGTTATCGTACTAACACAAGTTACCACTAGCAATACCACCATCACAATTTATTTTTTGAGAGATTATTTTGAGAGGCAATTTATAAGAAGTTTTATTTTACATAAAATTGAGTAAATAAATTAATTATTTAATTCTTCAAAAACTGAGAATATTAGTGAATTTTCCAGAAAGTATGCAATTTATTGATACAAATTATTACAAACTGAAAGTTGTATTAAAAGTGATAATTTAAAATTTTTTAGAAACAAAAATTTTCCATTTTGGATTTTGAAATTTTAATTAAAACAAATTACTATTTTATATTATATCATAAATAAATATTCATAAATAAGTGTGTATACATGTTTTACAATATTACTAATTAAAAAAATTTAAAATATAATTTTATGCACTCGATTGTAGTTTTGAAATATTTTTAATGCCATTTTATATAATCAAAAAAAAAAAACAAATTTTCTCTTTCATTATTGTGTTATTTTAAATGCGTTCAATAATAAATGCGAATTAAATGAAAAACAGCCAAAACATATTAAATTTTTCATTATATACATATATATTGAATATATTTATATATATGTATATTATATTTATGTACATACATATTATATCTATTATATATTAACTTATTTACTATAGTTTATTTACTGCAGTATCTATGTGTTTTTTTTTTAATTCTTTTATTTATAAACAAAATTTTAATTTAATGAAAAGATGAAATGGAGTTTACAAGTTGTTTAATTTTTTTTTTTTTCATTTTTTTTTTTAATATTTTATTGCCTATATATTAAATAATTTAATTTTTGTTTTTTTTTTAATTTTTTATAATTAATTTTATTAATAAAACTCATTATTTAATTACCTATATATTTTTTAATAATAATTAGATATTTATAATAAAAACACCAACAAACTTTTATTAATTATTATTTTATTACTTATATTTATTGTTATTAATTACCATCGTATGTTTTAATGTATATGTATATGTGTAGTGTATAATTCAATATATTTACAATATATGTAATTTAATTTTTGTTTATAATAGATAGTATGTGTATATATAGACGTGGATTTTTTTATAGGCAGTTTATAACCAAAATTTTCTTTTTAAAGTTTTTCTTAAATTTTTATTCAATATTTTTTTTTTTTAATAAATTTCTTATATAATTTTTAATAATTTTAAATATTATATTTATTTTTTTATAGTTAATCATAATTATAATAGTTTTAATTCTTTTTTTTTCATTTTAAAGTTATATAATTAAATGCATTATTTTCGGATGGCATTTATTTTTGTGTTTTTTTTTCCGAATTCCATTGATTTACAAGTTACGTGTATCTACAAATAATATTTAAGAGATTCATTTGATTTTTTTTGAAAATTTTTTTCAAATCCTTGTGATTTTGTATCTTGTATAGTGGGTGTTTTTATAGGAATTCTGAAAATATATAAAAAATAAAATGAAAATTTTATTAAAAGAAATTTGAATTAAAAATTTAATTAATAAATTTTATAGCAGGAATATGAAAAGAATTTAAAAGGGCGTGGAAACACTTTCAAAAACAAAAATCCATTTGGAATAAAATGAAATTATTTAAACAGATTTGTACAACTTTTCTTTTACATAGGATGATTATAAGAACTGTATAGAGTTCTTTTACAACAGGGTATGAGAGCCAGAAGATATTTGAATTGATTGAATTATGAAGTTTTACTTCCCGAATTTTTATAAAAAAAAAATAATAAAAGCCTTCTAAACCGAAAATTTTTTTACCAGTTTTTTTATAAAAATTTTATATTGTACATATTGCGGTAGTAAACTAAATTAAAACTATTTAGAACAATATGTTCAGGTGAAAAATAAAAACTGTGAGTAATTGAGCCGCAATTAAGAGAAATTTAAATTTTGAAAATCTAGCAAAAATCGTTTGTCTAATCAATTGTAATACTAATTTATAAATTTTTTTTTTGAAAATACCCTGTAACATTATACAAATATAATATTCGATATATAGAAAAATTAGACCAAATATAATTAAATTTAATTCCATTAAAAAGTGAAATGTATTTTTAATATAATTAAAGTAGTATACGTATATTATGTACGGCTTTAGATTCTTATATACGTAATAATGAAGCTTAAGTATATAACTACAAATTAATAAATTAACTTACCAATACATATTTAATATAATGGCAGATGATACCTCTGTATCTTGAAATACATTCAATGGTTTTATTTGATAATAAAGTATTGAATTTGTTGAGAATTTACGTTGGTATTCCTGAAACAAAAGAAGAAAATCAAAAAATAAATTTTAATAAAATAAAATTTTGAATAGATCATTTCGTAAATATTTTTGGAAAAGCTGTACAAAAAATTAAGAACAAATTTAAATTGACACAAGATGTAAAACTGTTTTTTGTTTAAGTCTTAACGTATAGTTCGTTAAATCTAACATTATCCGAGAAAAAAGTAATTACAATGTCCAATTAACCAGAAATTTTTCTAATTTAAATAACACAGATAAATTTAATTGAATTTCGTTAGAATGGATAGAAGCTTATATGTTACAATAATTATTCAAATTGTGTACAATTGTGCTGTTTCTATAATTCTCAATTTGCCTATCTCCCATATAGGAAATATATAAAAAGCAAAAATTGAGGTAACATAACGGAAGCTACCTTTGCTACAAAATTCACAATAGACACACATAGTGATACTTTATATTACTGCAATAATTTTTTACAAAATTTTCAAATTTCAACAAAACCAAACATTTTTACTACGTCATTTTGCGCGAATTTCAAAAAATATCGATCAAAAAAAATTTTTCAATAAAAAGTATATTTCCATCATATTATTAAATTTAATGAAAAATTTTCAATTTCGGCTTTATTTACAAAAATAGTTTATTAACCTTGTTTTTGCATATGTTATTATTTTTTACAATTATTATGCAGGTAATATATAAGTATATAAATGTGTATCTTCGAAAAATTTTAGTCTACATGTAATATAACAAAATACCACACACAAATTTTATGAAAAAATTTTCTTTTATTTAAAATTATAATACACCCTAAATTCTATGCTAGAATAATAATAGCGTATACAGTTGATGTGACCTAAATTCAATAGAGCGATTAACAAGCGTTGTAACTTTTATACAAGAAATAAATCAATTAAATTAATAAAAAAAAAAAAAATTTTTTTTGGCTTGTTAAACAAAACTAATTGAATAAAATTAAAAGATAAATACAAAAGAATATCTTGCATTTGTCGTTGCTATTGTCAACTCTAAGATAACAATATTGTAAGTAATTAAATTTAATTTAAAATTAAATTGAAAATTAAAAATTAAGTTTATAATAAATCTATGTAGAACCTAGTAGAAAACCGTTTTGAGTAAATCTTGCGATTATATTTGGAAAAACGATTTTGTTTTAAATCCGTTTCATATTTTTCTCATACCAAATAATTCTTATATAGTTATTATTGTTGAATTGAAAAGCCTGTACAAGTTTTTCAAAACTAACTAATTCAAAATTGGAATTTACAGTTCTTGTTTGCCCTAATAACAAGGGTTTATTATAAGATTATAACAGTAGTAATTATTCAATTTTAAGGTTATATTACATTTGTGATTATTAACACTATAGCAAACACGTTTTATAGTTTCCGAATACAAGGTATAAAAGTCAAATACAATTCTTTAACAATACCGAATTTAATGTAAATTTCACATTATGAAAGAAATAACAATTCCAAAATGATATTTTGCTGAATCTCTTTAAAAGTATGAGAAGAAGAAAAACAAATATCTAGTATAGTTTCTATAAAAGGAATCACATAACAAAATTTATTACAAAAATGTCATTTGAAAAATTAAAAAAAAAAAATGAAAGATTGAATAATTCGGATCAATCAGGTTAATTGGTGTAACATGAATTCATAAAATTTTGATATTTTTAATTTTCTATCAAAGTTTTATGGCATATTTATTGAAAATTGTCTCGTTTGTATTGTAATTCGATATTTTATGACAATTTTTCAGCATGATATTGTCAATTATCAATCAAAATAGCAATATGCAGGAAAATTTATTTTATTAAATTAAATTTAAAATTAAATTTTTAATATAATTTTGTACGCTACTTAGGTAATGAGAACTGGAGTGAATTTTTTTTTTAAATATATGAAAAGTTGGGAGTTTGTAACATGATTAATGTATTTGTCTCTTTATTTCATACTTTGTTTTATTCAGTATAAGTGTTAAGTCGATTATATTAACCTAAAATTATGGTGTTTAGATTGCTATTCACCATAGCGTATGTTATGTTTCTAACATACATTACATTCTACATTCATTCATAAAACAATTTTCAATAACAAAGCCCACACTGAAAAAAAAACAATTGGCCATAAACAATTTTGAAGATAACATTTTTTCTCTGTAAATAAAATATTTGATAATTCGTAACATTTTTGCTCAAATTAGAAATAAGTTTTATATTTATATAACATCAACATATTTCGATACTTTTTATAGTAAAACGAGCTAAAATTATTTCAAGTATATGGATAAAACAAAACTAAAGGGGATATAATGCATATAGGAATTTCGTAGATAATTTTATTATAGAAATATTTTAATAAAGGTATGTAAATAGCTCTTTTGGCAAAAAGCCCTATTCCGTTTTTCAAAATAAAATGTAGATTAATAAAAAAATTTTTGGTGGACACAAGTTTATCGGTATTTAAATAACATTACCAAATGAGAAAGAATTAATTTGTGTCTGTTCTTTTTTAAAAAAAATCTAGTTTAGATCAGATTTTTTCTCAGTGTAATAGGATAGAATGAGTGCAACAAAATGGCATTATATAGAAATTCAATATCGCAGTATTTTAGCATTTGTGCTAACGTCTACATTCGATTCTAATGTTCATATAATTTTCAGCCTGAGCTTCGTCTTAATTCAAATAAAGTAAAGTTTAAGACGTATTTTTTTTTTTTTATTATTGAATTTCTCATTTTGTTATACACATGCATTAAAATTCTATAGCATCAACAATTCCATCAAATATTTTTCATTCGGTCTATTTAAATTCGAATAAAATTCGAATTTTATGTGTCGCTTTTTTTAAATACCACAATTAATATTTTCGCAGAAAAAGAACAAAATTTTAAATTTTTTTAATGATTTTAGCAGAAATTTTAAAAATATATATTTTTATATTTTGCAAATATTTCATTGACAAGATTAATTTTTGACAGGAGGAAAAATGGAACGTATGTTTTAACAAAAAAAAACATGATGAATTTTATGTTCATCATTATAAAAAAAAATCGAATTCTTTTGTTTTTGACAAATTTGTTTAGTATAACAAAAAAACAAAAACATCATTTTAAATTGGATGATGTCCAATAGAGTGAAATATGAAATCAAAAAGAATACCAGTCGTCATAATATCAAACCTCAGCTATTTTTTTCCATTCTTGTTCTATTATTTCAATATTTACAGTCGAATCTGAATCCAGAGGATGCTATAGAACAGGGAAACTAATTTTTGTTCAAGAAGTACTCGAATTATTTAAGAGATCTAGAATTATTTTAAGTATGTTAGAAGTTTTTTAAGTGTTTCCAAATAATTTTGATTTTTTTACAATTATTAATTCCACAAGCGAAGTTTTTGTTCTATTAAAAATTATTCGTCATTTATGCAAGTATTGATCTGTTCACATGCATTGCATATTGTATACAGAGTATAAAAAGCCAAGTCAGAACTGTGGAGAGCAGAGAAAAATATTGTAGAATTTGAACAAAAATTTCTGTTTTTTTTTGCAGTTCTATTGATCAGGGTTCAACTGTAAATATCTTTTTTTTTCTCTACATATCATAAAAGTTGAAATTCTGTATTTGAATTCCGTTTTTTTTTTACAAAAACAAATTTTTTAAATAAATCAAATTGTTTTTTATTATAAATTTTTTGACAATTATGACAATTTATCACACATTCTACAAAATATGTACAAATAATTTTTATTGTAAAATTTTAAAGGTCAAACAATTTTTTTATGTCGTAAAATGGTGATTTAGTTTAGAATTCACTAAATTATTTTTCGTCTGCAATATAAATTTTTAAATGGGTCATCAAATTATAAAAAAACTTAATTTTAAAATATTTTCAATTTGTTAAAGTTTTTAGAAATGCGAAAAAATTCAAAAATCATATAATGTCTCCGTATGCTTTACAGTATGCTTTACAAATCGTATTAGTGGTATTAATTGATGTCACACCCATGGGATTATTCTAACACAAAAATTTAAATTTCATTTTTAATATGCTTATTCTGCAACATCATCGGACAGGATGTTAAATCCGAATCGGATCCAACATTTCAAAAAGGCCGACGATAAGATATTAATCTGAAACAAATGAATTTTCGTGCATCAAATGAATTAAGATATTAGGATAAGCATTTGAAGATAAGAATTTTTGTGCTATTGTGCTATTTTCGTGCTATACTATGACTCGCATATATTTTGTCAGTTTATTTAGTAATATTATATTTTGCTAGTAGTATTTTGTAATTAGTTTAGTTAGTAAGAATAAGTTATTGCAATTATGTTACAAAAAATGTATAGTAATTATAATTAATAAGAAAATTATAATTTACTAATCCGAATATACAAAAACAATATTTTATTAGCAGATGTACGACATTATAATATTCCAAATAATGACTAATATTTAAAGAATTTATTCTGTGTTATGGCGTTTAAAATTAAACAATTCAAATTTTACTCTATTTATAAGTGTATTTTCTTATACTAAATCTGGGAAAAACCAATGAAAAATATTAATATGAAAATTTTCTTGTGCATTTTTATAAATAACATACAAACTACTCGAATTTACTCGAGGACATTGTAAAATATACAAAGTCTATGAGATTAAGCTGGATAGGGCATTTCAGAAGGATGTCCGAAAATAAAGCCAAAATTAAAATATATAACGCAATACCCTTATCAGCAATAGCAAGAGGTAGACGAAGAAGAAAATAATATTGAAGATGATTGCTGAAAAATTCAAGAAAGAAATTGGAAAACCACCGCAAGGATCGTAAATGAAATGGAAAATAATAATGAAGCGGGCTAAAACTCACTCAGATTAGTAATGCTACAAGAAGAAGAAGAAAAAACTACTCGAATTAATTACAATTATAAATTTCAAATATTTAATGTATAATATAATTTTTATGATTAAATAAAGTTG